TTGTTGTTGCCGGCATCCCGCTGCCGCTCTGTTTAATGCTTCTTACTAACTTCGCCTTTACAGACCTAGACTTATTCTCAATTGAAATGGGAGCATTGCAACTGCCAGCGAAGATTGCGGACCGAACGGCAGCACTGCGTCAGTAAGGTGGTAATTTCTGACCTCACATTGGCGAACTCAGGTGCGGCGGCGTCCGGATCCCCATGTGCAATGGATTTTCCCTCCGCATCCACCAAGTGAAGAGTGGTAGCAGGACTCCTTCTGAAGTTCCACAGTCGTGTTTGTCCTGGCCATGTTGAAGACATAGCCTTCCCATATGGTAAAAATGTTAAACGGTTTCAAAGTGGGTTCTGCCAAAAGGCAAATCCGCCTTGAGCCGAGAAGGTCACGCCTAGAGAAACACTGCGCATTATACAAGAAACAGAGACATAAAATCGTATTTTGTCTAGAGGTCACCTACAGCAAATTATTCCGTTTTCATGCGAATTCCAGGTGCCAATCTCCGAAGATTGAACGCAATATAACTTTCCCACTCTGGATCAAGTCCACACCCCCGCACAACAACATCGTAACGGTAAAATCTCGAACAGTATCTTGATGTATTCGCGAAGGGCGGCGTGGTCTTCATGAACAGGGGGTAAGTGAACCCCCACCTCACCGCCTTGACCAAAAAATTCGCGATGCGGGAGCTGTTGAGCCGGATAATCAAAATCTCTTGTCAATTCATACAACATCGACGGGTATTCTTGTGAGAGTGCATATAATTCCCATTGTTCAACGATCCCACCGCAGCGTGAACGTTGAGAAATAGATATGCGCGCAAAGCAGCTTCCATGACGCGTAAAAAGCCGAAGTGATGTCCCCAACTGAGATAGCAGAGCGAATGAAGGGGAATGAGGGGATGTTGGGCGAGCATTAGGAGAGGTGCAAGATGGTTGTCGGATATCAAAATTTTAACGGCTTCGGCCAGATTTGCATGCCTTGTATTGTAGTGGAGCGTCAGCGGGATGGACTGATCATCCCGGATCACAAGCCCTATCCAGTTTTCAATTTTTTGGTTTTCCTTGTTGAGATAGTCGGGATATCTCTCGCACATTTCGTCTGGAAATAGGTTGCCTGACATGGGCAGTGTGGTATATGCCCGCATGGGATACTTTCCTCTCTCTGTGTGCGAGAATCTTGAAATTGTAGAGGTCAAGTTTCTCGAAAAATAATTCATGTCTTTTTCTTGTGTAGCGCTGGTCACCCTTTTAGCAAAGAGGCCTGTTTTGCGTGGGGTACGATGTGGGTTGTCATAAACGAATTCTAGATGGGAAGCGATGGTGTTCCAGGGAAGGTTATGCTCCTGGTGCATTGCAACTGAGATTTGGGGTCTACATAAATCCGTTAGCCTGACTTGAGAAAGACCTAGTGCTTGGAAGTCCAGTCTTCGGACTGGAAAAAGACCGAGACTGAACCGAACCCAGACTGCCAAGGACCGGTAAATTTCAGGACCGCCAAAGACCGCAACCGCGGTCCAGTCTTTGGTCTTTCATAATTTCAGAAATTTGAAGACCGACTAAAGACCGGTCTAACTGGTCTCAACCGGTCTTTCTGCCCCCAAACCCTACCTAACTAGAAGCTGCATCTTTCAAATATCTATGTAACATTTCCGCATGAAATCATTTTATTCGTGCCTAATTAATGCAAAACCAAACACAGCGACCATACATTTTGCCAGCAAAAATCGAGGGACCCGCACTTCAACCTGCAGATGGTTTTGATTACACTCCGTAGTTTTACATACATATATTACAAATTATTGTGAATTGGAATTACGAGGGGGTCTGAGTCTGGAGGTTGAAGTGCTTCATCGGGGCGACATGACGGCCGCAACCGCCATCAGTGGTCCTTGATTCCGCGGCTTTTGAATTGACGGCCGCGGAATGACAGCGGAGCTCTTACAGTTTTGCGGATACTTTGGCCCGCGTATGTTTTTCAGTATTCGCGGAGCTATGAACGCTATGAAGCGGATACCTTTGTCAGTATTTTTAACACCCCGGAGGCCTTATGGCTGTCAAACCATTGTCAGCTTGCGCAGCTGTTTTGTGAATTGATGGCCGCGGAATGACAGCGGAGCTCTTACAGTTTTGCGGATACTTTGGCCCGCATATGTTTTTCAGTATTCACGGAGCTATGAACGCTATGAAGCAGATACCTTTGTCGGTATTTTTAACACCCCGGAGGCCTTATGGCTGTCAAACCATTGTCAGCTTGCGCAGCTGTTTTGACGCGGTCTAAGTTCGAGCGCATGAGGCCCAACATTGAGCTATACTGTAGATTATACTTTGGCTACCTATGGCACCATGGATTATGGCAATATGTACGTGTGATGGATACCCATTGGGCCACACATTCATCCCATATGCTGGATATGACAATGGGCCCCAGGTATGGACCCATAGTGTCCATGTGTATTGGGCCCATTGGGGTAGCCTTATGACTTATTGGGACAATTGTCAATTTCTATTATTATGGTACTATAGTGACATCTATGTATACTTGTGGATTTGGATCTGTAAACCCATGGATGTAGAGATACTTGGATCTGAGAATCTGTGGTAGACATCTGAAGAACAGTGGATCCATGGATCCAAGGATGTAGAGATACTGGGATCTGAGGATCTGCAGATATTAGAGATGTGTAGATCTATGATTGCACCAGTATAAAGATCAGAAGATACATAGATTTGGATATGAAGATCTGAGGATCCATAGATCTGTGGAGATAGAGATATAAAGATCTTTGGTTTTTGAAAGTCAAATTGAAGTTTCATAAGATTCCTAGTTGAATGTAGAGATATCATAATTAATGGATGCTTAGATGTAGAGATACCAGGGTCTAAGGATCTGTGAATCTATGGATGTAGAAAGTCTAAAAATCTGCAGATCCATGGATTCATGGATTCTGATATCTCTATATCAATGGATCTGTGGCTTGGATGTAGTGATGCCAGAATATGGGAGGACTTTACCCTACCCCACAGATTCCATGTGGAGTCCAAGTGGAGTCTGGGGATCCAGGTGGAGTCCATGTGGAGTTTAGACAATTTTTTTTTGGTGGTAGCCCAGCCAAATTTTTGTCTAGAATCCATCTGGAGTCCAGCTGGAGTCCACATCAGAACACAGGGAAATATACATTCACCCAGAGAGACTCCATCTGGAATCCATATGGATTCATTAGCCTTCAATTTAGTTATTATATATAAAAAATGAAAGTGCATTAGCAAGAATTGAACACTCAAGCTCATGAACACAATGACCAAGATACTCACACAATTAACCATTAAACCACACAGCCTTTAATATACAATGCAAACCAGTACTATATATTGCTGTGGCACTTGGCATGTTCTGCACACTACACGTGCTGGTTGTTCATTGCCATGCTGGTCAAACACCAGTCGTCTTTCTTTTCTTGCCCCACCACCATCTGGTTCACTGAGATATTCCTGGTCTCTGAGACCAGCGAGTCAGGTTGAGTAGAGTTGAACATTCCTCTCTCTTCCTCCTACCTCATCCTTCTGAGGTAGCGGTATCTTCCATTCACATTACAACTCTTAGTTGCATCAGATCAAATCCTCATTATTTCATCTCATGTCTACTGGCAATGTTGTTGATGCAACTCCTACTCCTCTTGGAACTCCTATTTCTGGTAGTAACAATGACACTACTCAAGGTGGTAACAACGGTGCAAGTGGACAACAGGATCAAATGAGGTTCTGGCAATTGCCGATCCTTGTCTCCGGAATCTGAGCAAATGCAAAATCGAATGCTTGGGAATGTCCCAGTTTCTATCGCTGCTTGCAAGAAGGCAATCAAAGATTTTTGTGGCTCACAAATCTCGAAAGCCACAGCACTTAGCCGAATCTACACCACACTCGTTGGCACATTACCTGAAGACCAGACAGGAGTCGAAGATACCTTTGCACACT